CCCCCCCCCCAAAAAAAAAAAAAAAAAAAAAAAAAAAAAAAAAAAAAAAAAAAAAAAAAAAAAAAAAAAAAAAAAAAAAAAAAAAAAAAACTTGGATAAAATAAACTTAATAAATAGGCAAATATTTGAATTAAAAAAAAAATGTTTCTGCTTCTTCTTCAAGATAGCTCATTCACGTTAAAGTAAAGGAGGTAAAAACTTTTTTTTTTTCAAGGTCGAGGTTACAGGATGTGCCTTGAAAACAACCGTCACGGAGATCTGTTAGCGTGCTGTTGTCTTTTGGAAGGATTGTTCACTATTGGATTGGCTTTCATAACTACATTATTTTATTCTATCATTTTTACGGTACCATTTTAACTTTGGTTGTAAGTACCAGTGCTATTGTAACATTTATATTCATTCATAGTCATACAGTCAGAACGTTTAGCGATTAAGTATAGAATATATATAGCCATTCATTGTCGCGGAGTATTGTCGCGGAGTAGTAATCAGTGAATCAACTGAGTTCAGTGAGTTAACCCTTTGGCCTTTTGAGACGGAGCCTTTAACTTTTTGGAGTGCCCGTGCCAAGAAGACGGAGCCTTTTTTACAAGCTCGGCACTCATATTCCAAAATAAATGAATATATAATAATAATGAAATACATTACTTACTAATGCCTTTTACTTTTTACCCTGTTTGGTCTGTGGTGGCATAGGCCGCCTACAAGAATTTTCCATTCATCTCGGTCCCGTGTTTTCGTTTCCAGTTCTTTCCAGGTTTATGAATCCTCTACTTTGTGTGGCTTCCAGGTGTATCCCATACTTTGTGTGTCGGCTTCTAGCTCGAGTCTCCATGTATTCTTAGGCCTTACTTTCTTACTTTTTCCCTGTGGATTCCTTGTTAGGGATTGTGTTTTTTGTGTGTAGATTATGCCTATCCAAACTGAAGAATCTGACTTTTGTATGCAGTCAGCTCCTTTGATTCCCACATTTTCTTTAAATGCCTAGCCTTTCCAATTCTAGCTCTGAAATCAGCTTGGGATCCACCATTTATATCAATGGTGCTGCCTAAGTATGTGAAGGCCTCCATTTCATCCAGGGCTTTTCCTGCCAGTGAGATATGCTCTTGGTTGGCTGAGCTTACCTTTATGATCTTTGACTTGCTTTTCTTCATATAGAGTCTAAGCTCTGCTGAAAAGGTGGCTACGTCTTGAGCCTTTTCCTACATTTGTTATTGGTTGTTAAACAGAAGTGCAATGTCATCTGCACAGTTTAGGTTATTCAGTTGTTCCCAGGATGTCAACTTCACTGTATCC